TAAAGGACTCTACTTTTTTATGGTATGCCGACGCTGGACGAGAAACCTGAATGGCCTAAGGTGATAAGTCCAAGGTATACAGGGTTGTTCTCTCCCATGTTCCACCCGTTGTGCAGATAGCAAATATCAAATTAAAACTTGTCGTGTTTGTCTCTTTCTGCCCGCCCTAATATCAAGTTAAATGATTGAGCGATTGAGATGTTGACACCAACCTGATCGAGTTTCAATCAGAACGTTGCCCAACCCATTGAACTCCGTCATTTACCCGCATGATACACAGAGCTTATTACGCTCTAGTGAATTGAGGGCGGACGAACCTGCTATGCACGAAGGAATTCCGTACCCAAAATAACTGCACAGAACGTATGAACGAATTCCCTTGTCGCTCAAATGGAGCGCCTTTAATTATGTATGCATCGAGCCAGTCGTTACACGAGTCTTTTTGCTTTTCTAATGTTGTCTTATCGGTTTGTGATCTCCACCGCTGTTCTGATGGCTGGTGTCAACTGCCTAAAGATGATGAGCGTAAGTCGCCGTCCATAACCCTTGGATGTGGATGCAGACGAAGTTCGATGGAATCCTTCGCTCAGATTGAGAAGGCCACGGTACCGTTACTCGCTGCAGAAGAGTTGGATGATAGCTCGGCTGATCTGTGGTGGTCAGAAGGAGCGTTCGACGATTGCGATGTAACTTGTATAACATAGTCCCTATTGCAACTCCCAGTGGGTGATAAGAGAGCAGTTACTGAATATCCATAGCATAGAGACATTCGCTTGTCGGTGTTGAATCTATGTGAACAGGAACCGCCGTTGTTCAATAGCGCTCGTGAAAAAGAGGCTCGTCTAAACAGTTGCAGCTTTTAAGTTCGAATACTTTGATCATTCATTTGAATCACTGGATTGAGATTGCACTTCCTTGCAGGGCGCATTACCCTACGTCTACGAAAAGGATGAGTACTTCGTACGATTCTCCGAACCAGTCGCTAATGGATACCTCACACTTGAGGAGTTGAGATGCCCCAGCACTACTCAGTCTCCCATTGGTTATATCTTCCCTGATGGTCTCGAGTGAGTACCTGTTGTTCCCTCTTCCTGAATCATGATGCTCCGACCGTTGGGATGATGCCCCTTAGTTCATTGAACAATATTCAGGTGGTTCCTCATGGCATCCACCAACTCTCACGAAGAGCATGGCAAGGGAGGACTCTATGTGATAGAGCCCTGTAGAGTCTATCAGATCAAAAACAGAGCTACGTTCACGGGATCCTTGATAGCGCTCTTTAAAAGCACCAGTGGGAACATGACAAAATTGTCTCACGAAGGTGGTGCATATCTGTTCCCACACATTGTTGAGGCCCTATGCGAGATGATGGAAAATCCTGTTGCGAACAACCGAGAGGTTTATCTTTCGAAGGTGAGCGTCATTCCTCATCTCCACAGTAGAGTCTAGATTTGCAAAGTAGGGCACACCATTCATGAGACTAGAGTTCCATCACGAAGAGGTCGGAGCTAGCTCAACTAGGGTTGTCGTCACGGTAGTATCCGATGGAGGGCCGAGGATAACACGATTAGCGATCAGGAAACCTCTCCGAATGCGCCATACTGGCCACGTTATCGAGGACCTCATGGGTCTTTAACGGTAGCTGGGGGAGATAGTCAGGATTTGTGGGTCTTGGTTCATTTCATTTTGTCACCTCGGAAGTCCGTGAGCTCTTCCGTGGAGATCATACGTTCTTGAATGAGGTCTTCGCAACTGCATCCTGGGTGGATGATCAAGCGTTTGAGCAAATGGACAGAAGCATTGTTTTTTTTCCAAGTTATGCCCGGCTCTATGGTTGCTCCGGTGTGATCTCAGGTCTTGGGTCGTGAGAAGATGGATGTCTTCAAGGTCTCGCACGACGGCTACTATGCGGCTTTCATTATCAAGCATGGACGTTTGAGGATCAAGACTCTCTCCTGTCCCGGGACGGGCAAGTTTGAGGAATTCGAGGATGATGCGTAAAAAAGATCATCGTCCATGCGCCTGCCTAAATTTTTCCTCTTTGCAAAATCAGGGCAATTCCAGCTCACTGGGAAGGTTTTTCCTTGTTGAAGTCGGTGGACTCCTTGGAGTTCGCTCTCGAAGAAGATGACAATAGAACCATACAGGATGTATTGCACGTGTTACGCTGGGTGTATAAGGGACTCTCTATCATTGATGAGATGCCGACGCCAGACCTGACGAGTCCTAATTCTGTGTTTATCCGATCGCTTTGCCAATCTCCGCTGGCAACAAAGAGGAATAAAAGCAAACTGCGTAGAAGTCTCAGACGCCTCCTGCAGTGGTAGAAGCAAGCACTTCTATGGGAACTTCTTCTTACCAACACGGTTGTTCTCTCTCATGTTCCACCCGTTGTGCAGATAACAAAGATTATCAAATGAAAACTTGTCGGGTTAATGATCGAGCGATTAAGTCGTTGACACCAACCTGGTTGGATCCTAACCAGATTGGGGTGAACAACTTACCATCGACGGTCCAATATTCATAGTTTACTGGAATACAGCGGTCTCAGAACTCGGGTGACTATCATACAGGTATGCTCGTGCATACGTACTACGTAATCGCTGCGATTACTACGTGTTTGTAGTGATTACGTATTACGTATTCACTCGGTGTTCACGTTCTCATCATTTTGACTCCAGCGTTGTCGGACTGATTCACGAATTTGAAATGTACACGTTGTGGGTCGTTACTTTTTAGGTTACGTTTTCTTTCTTGGGAATTTCTCCATCACAGCGCTGTTGGTTGAGAAAAGAACCCTCATCGAGAAGTGTCTTCCGAAACAGTCTGTGATGTTGCTATTAATGCCAGACATGTGCTTTGATATCTTCACGGAATTATAACTTTAGCTTCTCTTCATCTGGGACACAAGCATTGTGCTGAGCTCATCTTCTCCCTCAATGACGTTCTATGTCGCATATTATTTCAGACGTGATCGCCTGGCATTGACATTGACTCGTGTCCAGTGTTGCAAAATATGTACTCGCTTTCCTCAGCTAAGCTCAATAGTTTCCTCACTAATCATAGGAGTTCATATACAAATTGAGAAAAAATACGAGAAGTGGACAGAAACTAACAGAAATTCTACAAAATTTCCTCAGAGTTTAGATATTGTCTCCAACACTTGTGGTTGATGATGTGCCAATTCTACCACACTGCTCGTGTCTGTATGTATCCTCCCGTCGATGTAGAAGGGCAGCTGTGTTTGTTGAAGATCTATCGGGTATAACACTTGTTCATGCATAGTTAACTATCGTGGTTATGCTATGGGTTCACCGTTGATGTTGACTATGCCCATGCGTTTTCTTAACACATCAAGTTCGGGTGCTTCTATACTCACTGCTGTTGTTGTGCTTACCGAAGTCCAGGAGATGATTCTACCAGTAGTTTGCTTCACGATGCGCAGCAGCAAAGCCGATGCCTCAAGACGATCATCCCCACGATCGCCTCCTACCCGTCGGTCCATAGTGAATCAATCGTATCAAGGTGTCCTCGTAGTCATCATAGTGTTCTGGTTCATACTGCGGAAGACTGTCCTCAGCTCGTACACAGAAGAACATAAGTTGATTACCTTTGCTATCTCCATCATAATATTACTCTGTTTGATCGCTAAAAGGCTCGGCTACATCTAGCGAGCCTTCATACCGTTGATTTTCACATTCCTTAACGTCGTTATGTTGTTACTCATATGTGGATGCTCATTATCAGAGCAGTTCTGGTGACATGATTATCAGCCGTCTTCTGAACACTACCCTTTGCCGTCGAGTAGGGCGTCCCAGAAGCTTCGCGATATACCGGTACGACCATGTTCATTCCTGATCACCGATATTTAGTTTTGAGATTCATTTCTTCAGGACTCCTGCTCCTCCTATTTCTGGAGTCCTTGAAGTTCGCCAAACGCTACATATATCTCCTGGGCTCGCTGGCTTGGCCACTGCATTCGACAAGCTCCCTAAGGATAGTGATGGTATACTTCCGCTCGGTTCGGTAATTCTCATGGTACCCAACAGGTGTAACTCGAGAAGAGCTGCAGCGCCTCAGCCCCTCTACCCCCGCGGAAATCATGGATGCGATTTTCGGACTTTTTGATAATTTTCCTAAGGACGGCAAGATATCCTATAACGAGCTTTGTAAGCGGAATAACATGATCAGCAAATTATCATATAATTCGCTCTCCCAGGTGCCTATCTCTTGCTGCACGCTGAAGGCGTTACTGATGCTGAAAGGTATGCTGAAGACAACCGCGCATGAGCAGCTTCTCCTTATTAGGTCGGAGTTCACGTTTTCGATCTGTGATGCAAATGGAGACAATGAAGTCTCGAAGGAAGAGCTTGCTGAGGTAAGCTGTCATTCTCAGACTGAGAATCTCAGTGCTACTCTATTGTACGTCAGGTCGTGGAGACTCTGGCATATGCCAAATCCAAGGATTGGAGCGTGGCTAAAGTGAGTGGTCAGGCTGCATGGGACGGAGGTCCAGAGAGCTATCTCAGGCTGTATCCCTTCGCATCGTGGAGGATGCGTTCGCGAAGTCTGATGAAGCTGATCTCGACATTCACGCTTTCACCGAGTGGAGTCGAGGACAGTCTGAGCAGGCCCAGGTGAAGAGTAGAGACTCGCATGGTCATCATGAATGCATTTGGTTAGGAATTTCACTCCCTGGTTACGGGCACTATTTGAAAGCTTTGTGCACACAGCTGATGCGTCGCTTGTATTATACTTTGCTCACGAGTTGAGAGTGTCTTAATGAACGAACCTGAGATCAAGAATAATGATCTAATGCACAAGGCATAATCAATATACAAGATCTGGTACATGGATCTCTCCGAAGATCACAAAGACATTCAAATAGCTTCCGCAACAGTGGAGGACTTGGGAATCGATCCTAGTCCCTTTCCCGTGTAAGCAGTGCGCTCAACTGTTCGGGTAAAGCGAGGCTGACAATATTGATTGGACTCGTTTACAGGAGTGCCAAGTACTACAAACTTGGAGAAAGTACTGAATCCATATCAGCTTTTCAACTTTCACTACTCTTCCGCACTGCCACACAAGAAAAGAATCCACACGAGAATACGAAGCTTTCAATGAGAGCCTTTCATGTCAACACCAACCAGCTATCTCTGACTCACGTGTCCAACATACGAGCTGTTGAGCATGCTAGCAACCGAGACGGAGCCAGCTCACGAAAGCAGACTATTGATGTCCTTTTCGTGCGCAGACTTCGACAGAAGCTTACTGTCCTGAGTGTCCTTAGTGTACCTTGCTTGTCCTCCTCCACAGTGCCCCAGTGGCTCTCGGAGGCTAGAGGCTTCAACGGCTAGTGTACGCGGCTTACGTGAGGCCTGCGGCGTGCGCTACTTTTAACGCGCTGTTCATGTATTTTGCATGTATAGTGACAGTCTTACAAGAATTTAGTGACGGAATCTGTCTTCACAATTTCATCCCACAGTTCTGACTTTCGGCTCATGTCTTATGATGTCTCCCATCGTCTACCAGCATCCGTCAACTTTCGTAAGAGGATTTACCGTCGTAGATTTGACCGCCACAAGTGGCCGTCTAGGCACAGAGTCTCCTCTTGGATAACCCGTCTAACCCTCGGTGTTAATCGAGTTGGTCATAGTCGACCGTAAGTTACACTGAAGCTCATACAATGTGAAAAATCTATTTTCTTAGTGATGAGAATCACGTGATGGTACTCGTGTACTCGTGATAGGAAATGTTGAAACCGAGTCGGAAATTTTTGTTCTGAGGACAGGGTGCAATCAATTATTATTCTCATCCAATTAAAGTGTTATCGAACTTGATGTCAAATTCGTCGATCAAATTTCATTTTTTCGTCAATATTTTCGTTTTTCCGACCAATTTCGTCGAAATTGTAGTCACATTCGAATGTCGTCGATTATCACACACCGAGGAGTTTAGAAATTGATAAAACACGTCCACAGTTTATAACCTAGACGCTCCTGCGTTAGTCGTACATCCCATTGTGGTTTAATAGGTACTGGACACGGCACTGGATGGTGGGGTTATCTTGTCTTATGTACCTCCTGCCGACTTGGGCTTATCTTTATCAAGCTTATACGTATAACGCTCTTCATCTCCTTTTAGTCGGCCTGTGGTAATAGACACTTGCTGTGAATGCTGATTTGTGACGTTATATATTTTCACTTTGATAACAGGTGGTGACGTGATCGTCGTGAATGTGAGTTAAATGTTCCCTTTCATAGCGTTTGTATATGGGTCGAATTTTCACATGTTTCTAGGTACCTCATCGTGACATTCGTATCGTTCATGGCTGATTACGTGTGCTTGCCAGTAATGACACGATCGCAGCGTGAGGAGTATCTTGCGATAGCTCCCAGCAAGCGTCCAAAGTTCACCCCATCAGCATGGGGTATGAGAGATAGGGTCGTAGCCTCTATAGCATGCTGGATCTCCATGGCTGAAAGTAATATGGGGAGTAGTAATGTTTCCTGGTATACGGTACGGCTTCAGCTCACTGTCGCTCCACGGATAGACGCCTGTACGATAAGAGGATCTCGATTTGGATTCATCCTAGTTTGTTGTGATAGGTATATCGACTTTGATACAAATTTCTATTTTCTAAATCCTGAGCGAACTGGGAAAGCAATTTAATTCTAGCTATGTCTCGATAGTCTCTGGTACGATGACTTGCTGTCATAGGGTCGTAGCTGTATTACTATCATTGCGAGATAGGCTTTGTAGAATAGCAGTTGTTGTTTCGACTTGAACTGCTACCATCAATATCGGTACATGCCATGCATAACATTGAGTGTAGTGTGAAGGGAAGTATCTTGTCTCAGGTTGGTCCCGTGTCCATTCGTATCTAATTCCACTCCTCCTCGCCGCTGTTTCGGCTGTGTGTATAATATGGAGTAGAAAGTAGTAGTATCAGTTTTGCACAGTCCATTTCACAATGGTTTCCTCTCAGCTCACACGCCTCATCTGTGTGGATCTTCCGTCACTGTACATGGCACGTTATATCGAGCCTCTCACTGACGGTGACAGCCCTTTGGAACGGCAAGACATGGTTTTGAAGGTCTTTGAGTATTACTCAAGCCGGGTGTCTCTGCTAAGTTGATAATAGTCATGTAGTTGTCATGAGCTACTTTGGTGCCATCCTGGAGCCAGGTGTTGTGTTTGTAGAAAGTGTCTCAGACGAAACCGAAAAGTGTCAGATGGTGACTCGGCAGCTTATGTGCATAAGTGGACCTGTGACGGACGGCATTGATATCGACGATGCTTGTCGTCAGCAAGTTATCGTCATATTGTGCGACTGTAACTATAGGCTTAGCCATGCTGGATCCACTATTTGCAGAGAATAACTATTAGGATGACCACGGGCAGGTGTTTCGGATTGGCAACGGACATGAAACGTGGCAAAATGAATAAGCATTTATTCTGATCTCTTCAGAAGTTGTAAGGAGCTACCTCGCTCCGGTGGCATGATCCTCAACCTTATCAGGCGGTCGTTCTGCTCGCTAATATACCCATTCCTATACTGTGTGAAGTTGACTATGTCGTATTTGAAATGTTCCGACTCGATGATCCTGGAATAATAAGCGGCAAATCATACATCTCACTGTAGGACAGCTTCAAGATGGTTTCTCACTCGAAACAGTTTCGGTTGAACCAAATACAAGCTGAAGAACAATCTGATGAAAGATGTGAGAATTGAGAGCGATAACGGCGCACCTTTTCACCCAATTTAGTCCAGTGCGAATGGTGAAGACTAATAATCTGAATCAGTGAACGAATAATGAATCATGCATTTGGAACTAATTATAAGATGTATTGGATCTTCCAGGGGACTCCATATTTCGCTTATCATGAGCTTCATGGGGTGGAGCCACTTGAGCAGCTATCGTCAAAACTCCCTATCATCAAGTAACAACTGCAGCCCAATCAAGTGCTCGACTCCTCCGAATGCTCAAACTCGATAAAGTGTGTACTTGAACAAGTTCCTGTCATGATTATCTCTTTTGTCAGCCCTCTGAGGGAGGCGTTTCCTGTACAACAGGAAAAACAAAACATTCATCGCCCCAGCATGGGAGAACTGCCATCGAACCATCCGTTCGAGTCGACTAATCGCCAAATGGTGAATTTCTTGCTGCTTATCAGAACAGGTTTCCCCTCCAGATTAACAACACTGAGAGTTGAGATTGCCTCAGACTAGTCGGCAGTTCGCCACTCACGAGCCATGCTGTTACTCCCCAACTGCAAACACGATAGCGAGCTGTAAACAGAGAAGCAGGTTGAAAAATCATAAAACAAGTCACTCAATAGCAACTTTGTTGCTCGCCCGGCATTCCGCTTGGACCTTCACCGGGACACTCCACACAGGTACGGATAGCGCTTCCGACTGAAGGGAGCAATGACTACTCACAAAGATGAAGGCTACTCACTATGTCTCGCAATACCGACACCGTTGTAGAGGTCCATGACATCAAGGCAAAAATAAACAAGCAAACGAGCAACGGTGATTCGTCGATTGGAGGCCGCTTATCGGGTGATACTATCCCAATGGCGCGATTAACTGACAACGAATTGAGTTCCTACTAACCAGATGGTGAGGAAAGCTACATGATATGATGATGACGGGTAGTATGCAGGTCCACCTATAGGGCGCGAGGGGAGCATCACAGACATGAGCAACCTAAAGGCATATCCCGTGAACGATACTAAAGGAAGCGCAGCCGAGTGTCGTAGCATCAATGTCCATTATGCCTCAGAGATTCCGAGAGAGTTGATCAAACTCATAACCAACCCAGCTTACCTGTATGATGGTCACTATCTGGGAAAAAAGGAGACCGATGAACCATATGACAAGCCGTGGGTGATCAGACATAACATTAGAGGTCATCATCCACAAGCAAGCTAGGATGACACCTATACAGTAAGGGGCTGCTGTTGAAATGGCATTGAGCAACTTGTTAGCTATCAAATCTGAAGAACAGAACACGTCCACCTGTATCATAGTCGATGACTCCTCTCACTAGAGTGCTTCTGCTTCCGTTGAGTTGTGGTTATGTGGCGGAAAACCCCATAAACATGCGTTAATATTACAGGGATAGCGGAAATTGAGCATCTAGAATATGATTATGATTATCTCGGGTTCTTCAGCATATCCCCTTACAGCGCTAATGCCACGTCACGTCGTTCAAAGCGGCCTCCAATGAAAGGTAATGTCTCCTGTACGTGCCAGAAAGTGGTATGATCGTCCAGTTGAGAGCTCATGAGGTATATACTGGCGAGAATAAGGACTCCTTCGTTCGGACCGTTGATGTAGGGGAGGATGAATTCACCTGATTTGAATGTGACGGTGGACTTTATGACAAGCTGACCCACCCCGATAGTATTCATCCCAAGCTGCGAAGAAGAACTGAGTTGAAGCCATGAAGAGTACAGTCAGAGTTCTGAAAATACTCAGTCGGAAAGATACGAACTATCTACGGTATTGTACCTTAAGCCTGCTCCGAATTGGAATAGAGCAGCAGCTGAGAAGGTGCTCATGACGATGTTGATACCATCACAACCATGGTCTACTACGAGCCCGAGCGCACTGGAGAGGCCAAGGCGACGGGCCTGAAATGAATCATGGCTTCAGGGCAGGAAATGAATCTTTAGCCTCCACCTGTTTCCCGTCTAAGTTGTCGAAGAGTTGGTATGCGAGAACCATGACTCCTGTGAGAGCCCATACCCATCCCGGAGAAGACTCTGTGAGAGATGGGCAGTACCTAAAGAGAGCTTATTAGCGGTAGGTAAATAGATACTGCATACCAGAGAACAGTCAGATGTGATACGATGTTACAGAAGAGACCACAAACTGTCAAAACGTTAGGATGTACCTGAGGGGCGGTATGGGGTATTTAATGTTTGGTTTTGCTATGTACCCATGTAGGAATGAATCGGATAATTTCCTCACATAGAGGTGACAAGAAATAGTTATAGAATAGGCTGCGATCTTCTCCTTTGAATTCGAACGACCTGACCTGTTTTACATCCTCGGCTGACAAGTACCTAGCGAACCAAGATTGGAGCAATCGCATTATGACGCGGTGATCACTTGGGAAATATTGCGATCCGCTCGAGTTGCATAGATGAAAAGATTCGGGATTTCTGTGAGGCAAAATCAGGTCTGAATATCGAGATGGAAGTCAATACTCATCCATTGAACGACCTGACTGATTGCGCAGTATTGCGTCACGCGCCACGAAACTCAGCACAGTTGGAAAGTTTCGTAGCGTTGCTAGTCTTGGGCCGTATGAATCGTAAGACGTTATACTCCTCTATTCTCTGCGGTACTTGCGGCAGCAACACAGCTAGGCGACTGTAACCAACCATGAGAGCAATGTCGGAGTAAAAACGATTCGTATATGGTGAGCCGAACTGGGGTGAGTTGGGGTGATGTGGTCGTATGTAGTACATCAGTGTGTCATTCATTAGTTATAACTATGTCGCGTGACAAACCTTTGTTACACTTCAGCAAAACAGTCGGATTTTTTCCAATTGAGAGTTAATCCAAGGGATATTTCACGATGTCTACCCACCAGTTGTTTCATTCAATGTCACAGCTTGACTTCCTCAAAGCATTACGCGAAGAGGAAGAGGATGGTGCCGAAGAAGATGGTCAGGGCCCAGCAGCCGGTGATGTATCGCCTCTAGAATCCGAGGGGGATCCTTCTGTTGAGACGACTGTGGTGGATAAGACTGCTGATGCTGGCTCTAAAGGCTGGGGAGAGATGCTCGCGGCACAGGTAGTAGCAGGAGTAGTAGCCGTCTGTTGTATCCCGTTGTAGAATCGAAAGGGACCGGTGGAGGGTCGTGGTGGTAGTAGTAGTAGTAGAAGTAGATGATTTTCGTACAGCTTGTAATCATATATCGTTGTCACGGGTGGGGCGGCTATGCCACTCCTAGATATACTCAAGGTTCATCCTTTATTCTGGATGGGGCGGCTATGCCATTCCAAGATATACTTAAGGATCATCCTTTATTCCGCATGGGGCGGTCATGCCACTACAAGATATACTTGAGCATCATCATGTACACCGGATGAGGTGGCTATACCAAATCGAAATATATCTAAATTAACTCAATTTTGCATCCACGCGAGCTTGAAAACCTACCAGCTATGGCATATCGGCCCCGAACGGAATCACCCCTACTAACGTAAGATCAGTGAGTTTTCGACGTGGGATGTTAGTCATTCTGTCCATGCCGAGGCAATTCCTATCTCGTGCGTTTGTGAAGGTGATCGCACCGGGGCATATCGTGGGGTGGCATAGCAGCCCCAGCCAAAAAACAAATTATACTGAGACATGTCCTGGAGCGGCATAGCTGCCCCGACCAAAGAAACAGATTGTACCGAGGCACTCCTCGGAGTGGCATAGCTGCCCCGACGAAAGAAACAGATTGTACCGAGGCATATCTCGGAGTGGCATAGCTGCCCCGAACAAAGAAACAGATTGTACCGAGGCATATCACGGAGTGGCATAGCTGCCCCGAACAAAGAAACGAGTGTACCGAGGCATATCTCGGAGTGGCATAGCTGCCCCGAACAAAGAAACAGATTGTACCGAGGCATATCTCGGAGTGGCATGGCTGCCCCGAACAAAGAAACAGATTGTACCGAGGCATATCTCGGAGTGGCATAGCTGCCCCGAAGAAAGAAACAGATTGTACCGAGGCATATCTCGGAGTGGCATGGCTGCCCCGAACAAAGAAACAGATTGTACCGAGGCATATCACGGAGTGGCATAGCTGCCCCGAACAAAGAAACGAGTGTACCGAGGCATATCTCGGAGTGGCATAGCTGCCCCGAACAAAGAAACAGATTGTACCGAGGCATATCTCGGAGTGGCATGGCTGCCCCGAACAAAGAAACAGATTGTACCGAGGCATATCTCGGAGTGGCATAGCTGCCCCGAAGAAAGAAACAGATTGTACCGAGGCATATCTCGGAGTGGCATAGCTGCCCCGAAGAAAGAAACAGATTGTACCGAGGCATATCTCGGAGTGGCATACCTGCCCCAACTTGAGAAATTGATATCACCAAGAGCCCAATCGGCCTTCAAAAAGGTGATCGGCGGCACGGAAAATTCTTATGTGTTTGATTGAGGCGCCGATGGTATCGGGCTAAGGTTATTGACACCCGGTGCTAATAGCAACATGGGTCGGTAACCTATAGTAACTTGCTATAGTCTGTACTGTGAGCATCATAGATATGCATACTGAACCATTAATGTGTATGAGGGGTTGGAAGAGATTGATTTGCCTATGATACAGCTGTATTTAAAAATTTGGAAAAGTCTATATTTGTAGTGTATATATGTTCACTCGAGTCCGATTCCAACTAGCCATCTTCTCGAGCACGTTGCAATGGCCTGCTGTCGGACTGAGCTCCGCCCTCAGCTTTCTGGTAAACCTAATGAGTCGTTGTTTCGTATTCAGGACGCCAGTAGCGAGCCTACAGGAGGTGGTGGTGGTTGGGGCGCCATACTTGGAGGCGGAGGAACCAAACGTAAAGCTGATGAAGCCTGGGCTGAACCCACGATGAAACCAGGAGATGGTACGATGGACGCTTTCGGTTACTTCAGAACCCTATTCGTTTAGAGAGTTCTACGGCTGAGTTTCCAGAAGCTGCCCATATAAAGATTCTCTTCTATGCGTCTGAGGGTATTGAGGTGTCTGCGGAAGATGTTCATAACTACAAGACGTCACTGAAGACTAATGATAAAGGGTGAGAGAGGTCATTGCTGCGCCGGGGGGTATCTCGGTGTATCTTAGGGCAATACCTGCAGAGGAAGCTTCAACTGGAGGTCCACCACGAGCGTTCGGACTTTCGGGTGAGGGTCGTATTGAATAACCTTTAATGCATTGAAAATTCTTAGATGAGCATGGATCGAATGAGGCCGTTGGAGTTGCTAGTATCCCTAAGGAAGAGTTCAAGGAGGTGCTGGACAAGCTGGTTTGGTCGATGGACACTGATACGGAACCGCTGTGGCGCAGAGCACATCCGAATGAGGTAGGTTACGATTATCACCCCTTCGCTACTATGTATTCTTGTTCCTATTATTATTGGACTCTCAGCGAAGTTGACCTTGAGTAGACTAGACAGAGACTTGAAAGGAATTCAGTCCTAATAGGGTTCAACCATCATCGAGGGGAGCGCAAGCGTTGGGGGTTCCTCCCACTGCTTCTCATATAGGCTCTCGAAGACTAGTGAATCCGTCTTAAAACGTTCGTAGTACTACTGCTGAACTACAGCCTTTCCAGGTCAATTTTCGTAGAACTCTTGTCCGTATTTTAGTA